ACTTCCTGTTTCTGAAGTCTCTTCCATCTCTTTTACAACTTGGGTCCCAGGTTCAAGAGTCTCTTGGAGTGGTGGTGAGCTCATCTCCACAGATTCTGAGGTCTGGCTCAATGGTGCTGGACTCATCCCTAATGATGATTGTGGCAACGGAGCAGATTCTTCCACCTGCCGGCAAGGGTCAGAGGTCACCCTTGCTTCTGAGGCTGGATGCTGTAGGGTCGGTCCTTCAGGTTCTAGGAAATGATAACTTGGTTTGGGGGTTGCTTCTAAAGATTTTGTTGCATAAAATTGTGTGCTTGGGATCAGTTCACCAACTTCCATACTCTCCACCTGTGCCTCAGGAAGTAGACTCCTACCTTCTACAAATGGAGTCTTTGTATCCTCAAGCAATGGTACAGAGGCTATCTTATCAGAGCCGGTGCTTTGTGAACATGGTTCTGGGGCCAAGTTCACAGATTTTATATCTTCAAGCGATAGTCTTGGAGTCAACTCCACCATTTTTATATCTCCTTGTATCTCCTGTGATAGGGCTGAAAGAACTTCCATACCTTGAGACTGAGAATCGGAAATCAAATGCACTGATACATTACTGTGCAACTGTGGACATGGAGTCAGCTCAGCAGACTTTTTGTTTTGGAGTTCGGGTTCATCTGTCAGTTGGCCAGCTTTCACATCTTGAAACTGAGACTCAGGGGCCGATGGCACAGATGTCTCACTTTGCAGTTGTGGTATAGGGGTTAATTCCTCATATTGCATATTCTGCTGATGCAGTTCTGGGGCCAAATCTATACATACCACTGTTGAGGTTGGTGGTCCATATTTTTCCATTTCTGGGACTAAATCTGTGGTTATGTCCACAGATTTCAAAATTTGCGATATTGGATCTGGGATTAGGTGCTCAGATTTTACACTCTGTAGTTCTGGGGGTAAGTCCACTGAATCCCTAACCTTATGCTGTGGGATTGTGCTCCCCCCCAAATATTCCATTTCCTGAAGCAGTGGTATGACTGGCCCTACTTCAGCTTCTGGAACTTGATGCTTTTGGCCCCTTCCTATAGGTACTGCACCTTGATCTGGTGGTGCTGGGATCGTTCTCGTGGATTCCATT